GGGAGAGCAGGGTATAGTCTCTCTCTCATGCGGGCCTGCACACACAACACACACACACACACACACACACACACACACACACACACAGAGAGAGAGAGAGAGAGAGAGAGAGAGAGAGAGAGAGAGAGAGAGAGAGTCTGACCGATTGACCACAAGTACTAAATGACTAAAGGACTAATGAATGGACGAACAGAGGGACGGACGGACCAACCCAACCACCCACCGCCCCACTGAGTGACTGACCTAACAGAGTGACCAACGGATCGACTGACTGGCTGATTGACTGGCATACTAACAGACAGACAGACCTATTGATGGTAGTGTGTAAAGCCAGGTGGTGCTTCCAGGTTCAGTGAAATTTTCATGTGTCCTGCTGTGGATTCAGAGGACTTCGCACATGATTCTGATCTCGTCATATGTGCTGTGTATCCTGTGTGCGAGAATTTACCCCTCGACATACCAGCATAAGGCCCCCGACAGCAAACGCATGCACGCCCTAAGTGAAGGCGGGCCCCTGAACCTCAATGAGCCCTGAATTAGTCAATTTTTGCAAATCTTGTTGGGCACCAGACAGTTGCCACGCGCTCTAGTTGGTTACATCCGCCTTGCTCGTGAGAATCTGAAATATTATTGAGCCTTCCGGGCTCTTTCAGCAACGTGGTGAAAGCAGGGAGCACCGCACGTTTTGTGCCTGGGTAGTTGGGCATGCCTAACCAATTCGGTCCCAGGCCACTGTCTGAACGGGCCTGGGCGCGGACACTTTGACCCAACATGAAGCTAAAGGGCAGAAGCGCGGTCGAGCCCAGTAGCGAACTCGGTGAGCACTTTCCATATAGGAAAGAGCTCGCCAGGCATTGGACATTCAGGCACTTGTGTGAGAGTGCGTCGGCGCTGCTTGAGCGTGCGCTCACGTGCTGTTGCACAAGCGCTGGTGTGTGTGCGTGCGGTCGTGCAAGAAGCAGGGTGCTGCAAGAGGCAGTGCGATAGCCCAGCCTTCATAGCCAGGGTGGGCTTGGATGTGTAGCTGGCGGGGTGGTGGTGGTTTTCGTGTATGAGGAGGAAGACGTGGGTGAAGAAGACGAGGCAGAGAGAGAGCGAGAGATGAGGATGATGATGTGAGGGCACGTACCTGGTCTTGGAGATGGTCTACAGGGTCGACATCTTCATGTACTTTGGTTGTTGCTGCTGACGTCAACAGGTTGCATTGTCAATTGGTAGGCTGGGTAGTAGCTGTGTGATCGTAGTCTGGGCGCTGAGGGCCAAGTAGGAGGAAGGGCTCTGGATACGTACGTTGGTGGTGGCGAGAGTATGCTCTCAACGACATTTGGATTCGGTGCTTTGGTTCTCCGTTGGTGTAATATCGGTGCATATCTGCTTTCTGGGCGGCGTTCGACTTTCTGGCTTTCAATGTGATTTTGCATTCTGGAATTCTATCATTTCACTATCGCTCATTTTCCTTGCAATTTGGTATCAGAGCGGGTTCGAGCCGCTCCACTGGCTCATTCGCAGTAGCTGTTTGGTGCTTTGTTGGATATGGTGGGGCAGTAATAACACTTGTGCATTGGTGTATGGGCGGCCCAGTGTGGTGTGGGCACGCCAGGAAGGCTGTGTGGTGACATAGGGGTGCACGCTGGATGATGAGAGCTCGCTGATGCGGCATTTAAGCCGAGGTGGAACTGCATTGCATTGTGGGTTGTGCCAAGGCATCGAGCGGTCATCATAAATGCACATCAGGTTACTGGTGAGAAGTCTGTGGTTGGTGGCAGCATTATGAGGTACGTCGCTCCTTACCTTATCTACCCTCTTCGTTACTTCTTACCATGAGGAAGTGAGTCTTGTCTTGAGAGTCCTCTCATTGTGAGGTGTCGCGAGCGCTCAACCTTGAGAGTCGACATTCATCCTGGGGAGCAAGCTGGTGGGAGACGGGTGTTGCCTCTGAAGGGCCCTGGACGAAGCACTCGGGCTCGGTAACCATGCCAACCCGCTGGGACTAGTACACGCATGCTTTGCCGTTTGTCGTTTGGTCTGCTTGCTGTGCTGTAGAGGTCATGTCGGGCAGGCCAGCCCTATGAGGGAGAGACGAGTACCGGACCGTCTATAAAGAGACTCCGGTGGGGATACACGACTCGTGCTGTACGCGAGTATAAAAATAGTACGCTCGGGGCTGGCCAGTTCTTCATTCACTTGGGGCACAGTGTTGGGCCGATTGCACACCTTCAGACACACCACGGAACCAGAGCTTCAGGACGTTGACACGAAGTGACTACTCAAGAGGGATACAGGGGGAGGGAAGATTCCAGTAAATTGCTCGATTGTTAATCATTGTATATTTCCATTCTGCATGCACACCAACAATGATTTTATTTTTATTTTCCATTCGTTAGTTGCTACGGACTTTGCTGACAACTAACAGACGGCTGCAGATAGAGTAGTGAATATTTTTGTCTGCATTGCATTCTGTTTCAGACTAGTCAAAAGTAGGAAAATAATTGTTTGTAGGAATCTGAGATTATCTGTTGTTATCGCTTGGCTATTTTTTGGCAAAGCTGGACCGAACAATTATTTTATTTATTTAGTTTATAAGTCGGTTGGGTGCCATGCTGCAATAGGTCCCAGCGAGGAGTGCAGATCGCAGGCCACGAACAGCTCATGAGTGGAGATGACAGTGGGGTTGAGAGACCAGACCAGCACGATAGGAGGCTTACCCGTAGGCTTGCACTCAGTCGGCCGACCACTTTCCTAGTGTTAGAACAAGGAGAGGAAAGGAGACCGCAGAGAGAAGCCAAAGGGAGGAGAACATTGCAGAGGGCTAGGAAAGCAGCAGCCAACAAAGAAAGGGCGCTAGCTGCAGCACTAGTAGCAGACGCTAGAGCCAACGCCAAGGCAGCCATGGCTACCGCCTCTACAATGTCACAGGCCACATCACAGGCCTCTGCGTCAGGTGTCAGTCTGGGTACGTTCCAGCCTTTCGTTAGTCTGTCTGCTGGCTTGCAGGTCAGCCAACAGCAACCCATGTCTGATGAGGACTACGAGATCCAGCAAACGGATGCTCTCCACGCAGAGTTACAGCGCCAGTTGCATGAAGTAGAGGATATGAGAGAGAGAGAGCTAGAATTAGAAAAGCCAGGCTATAGGCAAGGGCAAATTAGAAGCTATGGATGAGTCGACTCTTGATCCTGTGGTTCTGTCTCTTCGGAACTCCTTGTTGAGTGTAGCCGAAGTGCAGGCCGTGCAGCAAGAAATGTTGGTTGCACTGATAACAGGCCAGAACCAGATTCTGACCGCGCACGGGCGTCTCGACCTCCGGTGAGGCCACCCCAATTTGTTGTAGCTCCCCCTACGGTCGCAGGTCCTTCGTTGATGCTGCCGCCAGCAGGACCACCTTTTGTCCCACAGTTTGGCATTGGTGGGCCCCCACCAGGCAGTTTAGCAGCAGGTAGTAGTGGGCAGATTCACTTCCCCAGTCAGCGGCCGCTGCTACAGGGCAGCCGTACATACAACAGCCTTTGCAACAGTTACCTCAGCAGAAGCAACTACTGCCACAGCGGCCTGTTCCACCGGCTTCTCAACCGATGCACCAGGCACAGGGTGTTGTACAGCCTATGTAGTGGACACCCAAGATACCACACTTGTTGAGTCTTAAGCCCTTCTCTGGCGAGGAGAAGAAGGAAGAGGATTTGGATACCTGGGTGAGGACTGTGCCTACGTATGTAA